GCCCGGCCGCCTGTGCGGCTTTGCCCGGGAGTCCCCCCCCAGCACACCAGGGAGACCCAGAGCAGCTTTTCTCGCCCCGGAGGATGCGGTGGCGGGACCGCTGCGCTCTGGGCGGTCCCGCTGCCCGCGAGCTCCGGGGCGAGAAAAGCCCCGTTCGTAAGTGCGGATCCGACATAAGTCGGATCCGCATAAGTCGGGGACTGCCTGTACATACCTATAGAAATGAGAGTGTTAATGAGGCTAATTAAGTCAGGATGGATGCAGCCCACTTCCAACACTTGATAAGAAGGTGAGAATACCTAATGGGGTAAATTCCTTTTTGTAATGAGAGAGCCAGTCCCTGTTCTTACCCATTCTGACGGTGTCAAGTTTGCATATGAATTCCAGCTCAGCTGTTTCATGCTGCAGTCTATTTTTGAAGTTTCTTTGCTCAAGCATGGCAACTTTTAATTCTGTTACTTTGTGTAGGGATGTAAATGAATAGTCAACTAGAGTATCAACTACTTTCTTCACCCCAACTCCCTGCTGCCTCTGTGAGAGGCAGCAATGGGTGGGGAAAACAAGAGCTAGTGCTGGCTAGTGGGGAAATGGGCTAGTGGGGAAATGGGAGCCAGCGTAAAAGCCAGCTCCCCCCAGCACCATCTCCGCAGTGCTGCCCTGCCCCCTCCACTGTTCCTCCTGGGATATCCCCACTGCGGCTCCACAAAGTGATCCTTATCGACTAATCATATAGGTAATACAAATTGTATTGACTACATGATTAGCCAGATAACTGCAATTTAACATCCTTATTACTGTGTGTCTAGAGAAGTTAAAGTCGTCTCCTACTGGTTTTTTGATGTTACTGTTCCTGATGTCTCATTTGTGTCCATTTAGTCTTTTGTGTAGAGACTGTCTGGTTTGTCTAATGTACATGGCAGAGGGGCATTTCTGGCACATGATGGCATATATCACATTAATAGATGTGCAAGTGAATGTGCCCTGATAATATGGTTGAGGTAACTAAGTCCTGTGATGTCACTACGGTAGATGTGTGGACAGAGCTGGCAGTGGGGTTTGTTGCAGGGATTGGTTCCCGGGTTAGTGTTTCTGTTGTGTGGTGTGTAGTTGGTGGTGAGCATTTGTTTTAGGTTGGGGCACTATCTGTACACAAGGATTGGTCTGCCTCCCAAGGTCTGTGAGAACAAGGAATCATCATCTAATTTATTAGGTTAATTGCATATACCCAGTCTTCCTTAGCTGGCTGCTGTTCCCTCTAATTCAGTTACTACAGTGGAAATAGCAGTATGTGTTATAACAATGAGGAGTCCTGTGGCACCTTAAACACTAACAAATTTATTAGGGCATAAGCTTTCATGGACTGCAGCTCACTTCCTCAGATGCATGCAGCGAAAGCTTCAGTTTGCCAGGGATTTATGCAGGCAGTCCCCGGGTTACGTACAAGATAGGGACTATAAGTTTGTTCTTAAGGTGAATTTGTATGTAAGTCGGAACTGGCTCCAGATTCAGCCGCTGCTGAAACTGATCAGCGGCTGACTACAGGAAGCCCTAGGCAGAGTTGCTCTGCCCCCGGCTTCCTGGAATCAGCCGCTGATCAGTT